TCAGAGCTGCAGTGTAGCCTGACTATACCAGAAGTCCTTAGAGAGACAGGGACAGTCCCATACACCATGTTGTAGTCTGCACAGCATCTAACCTAGGGCTTTAAATATTTGACAGTGGATTAGAACATGTTATCCATCTTCATTAGTGTCAATAGTATCCTGGGATTGGAACTCATTCTCCTATGTTTCGTGTTCAGTACTTGGAGTCAGATAGACTTGGGGTTAAAACTCTCTCTTCTGCCAATCCCTAGTAGTGTGAATTTAATTGCAGGGTGGCAGTAAGAATCGGTGATTAAATATTAAAATGTCTGGCAGCTGCTATTGTTACTCTTAATATTTTACTTGTCTTTTCATGAGAATTACCCTACTTGAAAGCTTGTTATTCTGCAGTTATGAACTCTCAAGTGTTTTGTAATTGCATTTCCATCTGTGAGGTTTTACTCTGACCCTTCAAGGCTGCTTTCGTTCAGTGAGGAGGTGCCATTTGACCTGTCTTGATGATGAGTAGGTACTTAAAGGGCAGAAGTGAATGGATAAGAAGACATTCCAGACATTGGGAGCAGCATCTGCAAAGTCCCAGGGTCACAGAGGCATGTGAGACATGGGGAAGATGGCCGTAGCTCAGGTAGGGGCTTGTAGGATGAGCAGGGAACCAACTCCTTGGTGGTCATGCCTGTGGACAGAGGCGGATCACAAAGGACCATTGTAGATGATGCTTGATTGACATGACGAGCACTGGAATCTGATTACTGTTTTAGTATTTTAAAGTTTAGGCTAATGAACTTAGAGCCAGGTGTAAGGGGTGGGAAGACAGTATCGGCCAGCATGACTGGAGTCATGAGTGGGCCCACCCTACCAGGCAATCCTGCTGCTCTCTGTACCAGCATGGTGATTGGACATATTAAAATGGGGAGAATGCTGGTTTTGTCCCAAGCTTTTTCATCATTGTGTTTTTGTCCCAGAGTTCCCTCACTAGAGTGCATCTTTAATAAGATCTTTGGGTAACAATCACCTGGGTTCATCCCAGTCAGCATTTGTGTAGCCCGCATTTCTGTGCTAACGTAACTCACATTCCAGCCCAGCAGATGTTTTCCAAGAGCCTCGAAATGCCAGTGTGGCAGATCTTACGACAGCGATCGCCAGTCCTGCATTCAGCATTGTTTCTCACCTCATAGACCAGCTAAGGTCTGGGGAGAGGCTGAGAAAGCGACGCCATCTTTCCCTTCTTGTCTTCAAGTGTTCACAAGATGTCAGGCAGGCAGCGCAAGGGCTGGCTCGAGGCTCGCAGCTTCTCCCTTCTGCCAAGCTCTTTCATGCTACTTCTTCCTGCCTCACTTCCAAGTGCCTTCTCCATCATTTGTGCTCAGTAATTCTACCATTGTTCTTCCTGTCTGCTTCTCTTAAAACCAGCCCACACCTTTTCAAGTGCATTTCCTGAGGCAAGTGTGTGAAAGCTGTTATTTCATGTTAATTAGAAGTTCTTTTTCCAGTCAAGAATCCTTACACGGGAACCGTTAGCCCAAGCTGAAGCTTTGAAACACACTCTGGCCTTTTGTACTCTGGGTGCAGTGAAAGGAATTGCGCTAATTGCTGTGAGGGCTTCTAGACTACCTACCGGGCAGGGAAACCCTCCCACCACCTCCATGGCCCTACTCTGAGCCTGGCTGAGCCCGAGGAGCTCAAACTTTCTCCATCTACTACACCTATGGGACCTCCTGGGCCCCCACAGTCCTAAGGGATTTCCTTTGGCCATAGTTACTTGGCAGCCATGCTTCTGAATAGATCTTTACCAAAGACAGACAGGTAACCACTTGGTACTTTTCCTGCCCCTGTCACTCACCTCCCAGTTAACCTGAGTTTGCTGGGAGAGTTAGGCAGAAAATTATCTCTGAACACAGACAGACACTGTCAGGAGTCAGCTTATAGTTCCTTTAACACCCTTTTGCCCCCCAGGGAGACCCTGTGTGGTTGTCACTCCCTGCAGGCATCCTTGCTAAGGCTTCAGGGAATTTCTGCTCCTTTAGATGCTGTAGGGCAGGACCTGAGTCTGGCCGCTCATCTAGCCTGTTTTTTATGCTCACCGGCTTGTTCACCAAGGACTCCATTCTTCACATCACTTGGCCTGTCACCCCATCAGCCTAGGTTCTGCCTCCATACCCGCAGACTTCCTGTGTTCCACTGGGAGGAAGTGGCTGGAACTGAGCCTTCTTAAGCTGAGACAGAGGCAGGGTGGTCTGTTCTGCTGCTTCTCCTTCAGAGGAGAAGGCTCAGCTCTGCCCAGTTACCTAGGGTAAAAGCATTACATCATGTAGGGCTAAGTTCCATCACTGGAAGTTCACTTTGACGCTGTCTGTTTCTCTGCCAAGTAAAGAATTAAGGGAAGTATAGTAAAGCAGTGAGTGTATTGAAATGGAAATAGAGTACAGACTTTCCATAGGACCAAGAGTTCATCATGGTCTTCGGTGAGGGCAGTTATAGTTGTTATAGCAGAGGGCTCACCCCATATCTCTTCCCTTGTGTGGCCTTCCTTTCTCTGTCTTTTTGCTGATTGCTTGATAGTTTGTATGTTCACCTTTCTGGCTCTTTTTGTTGTTTCTCTTATCTCTGGGCACATGTGTAGAAGCAAATCCAGTTGGTTATGTCTGGTCGATCAGGATCAAGGATTACCTCATTACTAATGTAGGATTTTTGGTTCATTTTGTTTTTTGCCAGTCCTGGGGCTTGAACTCAGGGCCTAAGCAATGTCCCTAATGCTTCTTTTTGCTCAAGGCTAGCACTCTACCTCTTGAGCCACAGCGCTACTTCCAGCCTTTTCTGTTTATGTGGTGCTAAGGAATCTAACCCAGGGCCTCATACATGCAAGGCAAGCATTCTACCACTGAGCCACCTTGATATAGGATTTTAAGCAGAAATCCAGGGCATTATGGGAAGAAGCACCATTTTGAGCAGGAGCCTGAGGCACTATGGGAACCATGGTGAGTCACGTTATGGACCATAATGAGCCACCTTGTCTGCTACATGTTATGTACACCATTTTCTATGCCTATCTACTTAACAGTCTCTGTTTCTTTCTCTCAATGTATTGACTTACTATGGTTTATAGAGAAGGTAGTCAGTGAACAGATGTGGATACAAGGCCCAATGATGCCAGGTGCCAGTGGTTCACGCCTGTAATCCTAGCTACTCAGGAGGCTGAGATATGAGGATTGCAGTTCAAAGCCAGCCCAGGCAGGAGAAGTCTGTGAGACTTTTATCTCGAATAAACCACTCAGAAAACTGGAAGTGGGACTGTGGTTCAAGTGTAGAGCCCTAGCCTTGAGCTGAAGAGCTCAGGGACAATGCGCAGGCCAAGTTCAAGACCCATGACCAATCAGGAAAAAAAAAGCCCACTGAACTCAGAGCACTGTCCTAGGTTCTGTGGAGGGAGGACAGAGAGAGGGCAGTCAGGGACCCGTATACTGAAGATGATCCCATCCAGAAACCAGATGGCATTAGCACAAAGCCTTAGTGATAAACACCACCTGCTAAGAAGGGTGGTTACACAGATGACTCTGACAGTGTCTTAAGTACCACATGCAAGCCTGGCACATAGGAGGCCCTTGATAAGATATAGCTATTTGGGCTGGGAAGGTGGCTCAGTGGTAGAGTGCTTGCCTCGCATGCATGAGGCCCTGGGTTCGATTCCTCAGCACCACATACACAGAAAAAGCCGGAAGTGGTTGCTGTGGCTCAGGTAGTACAGCACTAGCCTTGAGCTGAAGAGCTGAGGGACAGGGCCGAGGCCCAGAGTTCAAGCTCCACAGCTGACCAAAAAATAAAAATAAAAAAGATGTAACTATTCCTTCTCATTATTATTATTATTATTTGATCTATTATTATTAACAACAGACTCCAGTTGCTAAGGACATGTCAGGTAAAGAGATAGAGGTGTGAAAGTGGCTAGTGGAAGACTTATTTGATTAGGAGATGAGAGAAGTGTGGCCTAGCAGAGATCCCAGTTGAGAATGTGGCACATACAATGGTAGAGTGCAGAGAGAGGCAGGGATTTATGCTGGGAGGAGTAATGGGTCTAACAGGACACCGCACAGGATAGGATAGCAAGATGACAGCCTTGAAGGACTAGAGAAGAAAGCAGTAAGGAATCATTACTGTTTCTCAAGCTGGGACTGAAACTGATTGTTAGAGGTCTTTAGAGTAAGATTACTGGGAGTTGAAAAAATCTAGGAATAGGGAAAACATAAAGAAATGGGTCTGGTTTCCTTCTAGAATTTTCTTGAGGATAGGAGTGATGAGTCCATGGACCAACAGAACTGAGTTACAATCCATAGGCTGACATCTAAATAGAATCAGGAGAATTTGTAGTGGGATCTGGCTGAGGGTATAAGCGAAAGTTCTAAGTTGGCACTTACAAGGTCTGGACAGAGGCTACTGGCGGCAACACAAATAGGAAAGCAATCTCTCAGTGATCCTGAAGGGAATTCAGATGTGTCCCCTAATAGCAGGGCTAGGGGGGACCAGAGGCCCCCTTTCCTGATGCACCCTCAAGCAGGATTTTGTAGCTTCTCCACATAAGCATCATTCCAGAAGGTTATCTGCAGATATTTATATCAACTGAGTCATACTGCTGTGTCATTTTGTAAATAAATCTAGATTCACTTTTAATAAACTTTTGAAGCTTCACAAACACATTGGCTTTGTTCTAAAGAAGCATACTCTTAATAAATCCCCATGTTCCGAATAAAATTGGCCACTCTAGTACTTCTGACCTGACCACAATTCGTCATCGTGTGTTTACATTTGCCTCTGTGCTAAGACTTATGCAAAGCTCTCTATTGAGCAGTGGTTTCTAGGATCCTTGGCCCTGCTGCTGCGTCCCCTGGTCTGATATATGGGTGTCTCCATTTTAACATGGCCCAACCCGGGCCAAGCTCTCCTCTCCATCTGGTTCGTGGGGTGGCTTCCGCTTGAGCTGTTATCTTCTTGCTTGTCTCTCACTGCAGACTACTGTTTTCCAAAGTGAAGTTGGAGTCGCTCTGCCGGGGCCCGGATGAGGCACTGCTCACCTGTAAGCACATGTTACAAATATGGAAATCCTGCTACAACCTGACCAACCCCAGGTAAGTGCCAGCAGTGCCTCTTTTGTGTGGAGTTTACCTGAGTTCCCACCTATCAGGGCCACCTGCACCCCCAGTGGCCACAAGTAGCAGACAATGTTTTAAGGAACTTTTCTCCCACTGGCTGATGGAGCCTCTCAGGTATGCGTTGCTTTTGCTGCTATGGTGTGACCCATAGGCTCAGTTCACAAATGACCTCTCCGATTTCTCTTTACGAGCCATTAACTCCTGTGAAAAGTCTCACTATCTTTCTAGTTTATGTATAGCCCAGTGAATGATGTATTCCAGTGGGGTTCTTTAGAACACCTTCTGTTTAAGAACAGCCTGTGTCCTTCGAAGGGAGAGGAAAATTGTTGTTAGCATAATATACAATTTTCAAAGTTAAATCCATGACTAATATAAGATAAACACATATCATAGATCTTATTTGCCTTATTAACTAATGAAGGAACAAGTACACTGTTAAGATCCACTCAGAAACAAATTTAGATAGATATCCATGGGCAGAAATGCTGAAATAAATTTACAAACAGAAGCAAAACCATATCTAGGCAATGACAACCATATCCAGGGTAAAGATCAATTGTGGCTATATTACACAGACCCATTTGTCTTACTATCAGTTTTCTGCAAGTTAACTTCTGCTTCTTCAGTGTTCTAGAGTAGATTAGTCAACAGGAAGTCAGATGCCACCCTTTAGAATCAGCTGATGTGGGGAAGAGCAGCCAGACAACCAGTCTGCCAAGAGACCTCCAATCGCCCATTCGCTCAAGACTGCTGCCCTGTTAAGGAAGATGGACTCAGTGATTTGAGTGCATGTACACGAATATCTTATGGTATATTCACAGTGAGATGTACCTATAAACTATAGTATGCTCTGAAGAGTCAAAAGCCTGAAAAGATGTCATTCAGATAGGAAGTGAGAGCCAAGGGTGTGACCTGCCCAACCCAGCCAGGGAGGAGACAGGCTAGTTGGCTGATGGCTGTAGTCTGCAGAGACAGCCAGATAAATGCTGGGATGCAAGTTAGGTAGCAGCAAATGGAGGAGAGTTTCTGCCACTAAAAAACGAGTATTTGAAACCAGGGCCTATGAAGGGGATGTAAACTGGTGTCAGATGAGCCAGGAAGCCCAGACTGGCGAACAAGCCTGCTGAACAGCCTGCCCCGACAACAGCCGGCCCCTTACGAGAGTCCCTTTACAGCTACTACCTGTGACAGGTCCCTGCTGCCCCAGGCTGGCCTTTCTCTTGGTGAGACGCAAGTAATCCCGAGTCTGGCCACTTCTCTTTCATAGGTTTGATCCAAAAGTAAAAGATGATTTTCATTTAGAAGCGGTCTCTCCTTGTCTAAGTCTTAAGCAGAAATGGAAACTGCCTATATTCATCTCCCCAGAGGACCCTTACTCCCAGCCCATCAGTAGTGTCAAGATTGGGGTGGCTGCCTGGTACCCTGGTACCCTGGATGCAGCCGTCACTGCAGCTGGCTGCCTCCATGCTGGAGCACACCCTTTGCCTGTCTCTCCTTTCCAATGGAGAAAATAAACCCATCAGCTCTCGCCTTGCCAATTCTCCCTCAGTTCTCCACACCTCTCCCACCTCCCCACATTTCCTCCCACTTAGCAACCAAGAATATTGAATGTGAGGAGAACAAAATAGCAGAATTGGAAAGCCTTTTGAAAATACGTAACCAAATGTCTGGGCTCTGCATGCTTCTTCCATTCCCTGAAGGATCTTTCAGTGCCAGAACAGGAAGGACCAGCCACCCCCCACTCTTCCCCCCTGACACACACAGCTTGATGGGGCGGTCACCTCCTAACGCCCTGGGTCCGGGCAAGTAGACTGAGAAGCACCTTACTAAAGAGCTTCCTGTTGGTTTAAACATTCTTTTTTTTTCCCTAGGTGATAAATAGATGTTTTCTCTCCAGCTGTCACCATTTAGATATGTTCTTGTGTTGCGGGTGAGAAAGTGACCCAGGCCAGAGAGTGAGGCCTGTAGAGGGAGGGCTGGCCTCTGCCAGGTTCTACCCACTCCGCAGCCTCCTGATGTGCCAGTGTGGCCCCAGCAGCCTAGGTCAGCCTTCAGGGCATGTGGAGCTTTTAGAAAAGGGCAGAATCTCAGGAAGAAGCATCCTTTCCTAAAAATAAAGTACACTGAAAATTGAGCAGCAAGATTTTGGCAGGAAGCAGTTGGTTTCCATCCGGAATAGGTTCCTGCTGACTTCCTGGCTCCCGAGCCCCAGCTCTACGCATGCCCAGTGGTAGCGGGCCCTGTGCTACAACCTGCCCCTGGGTTTCCTAGTCTTTCCCAGGCTCTTCCAAGGCTATCCTGAGGTTTCACACAGAGCCTCAGAGGAGGCCAGAGGAAGAGGTGGGGAGCATCAGTGAGTGGCCAGAGCCTGACTATTCTCAATAGTTCGGTTTCTCATGCTCCTTCTCCTTGTTCTTCCTCCTCCTCCTCCTCTTTCTTCTCTTCTTCCTCTTCCTCCTCCTCCTCCTCCTCCTCCTTCTTCTTCTTTTTTCTTGTTGCTGGTTGTAGGGCTTGAACTCTGGGCCTAGGTGCTCTCCCTGAGCTCTTCAGCTCAAGGCAAGCGCTCTACCACTTGAGCCACAGCACCACTTCTGGTTTTCTGGGTGGTTTATTGGAGATAAGAGTCTCATGGACTTTTCCTACCCTGGCTGGCTTTGAACTGAGATCCTCAGATCTCAGCCACCTGAGTAGCTAGGATTACAAGTATGAGCCACCGGCGCCCAACTTTTCTTCATTCACCATATGAACTAGTCACTGAACTGGGCCTCAGAGAACTGGGCCAGTAGGGTTCCACTACAGTGGTAGAGCCTGAGTCTTACTCTGAGAAAAATGGTAGGGGCATTCTTTCTGGTATACATTTGGTGAAGTAATGGTCATTTCAGAAGCCTGGGCTTTCTTTCTCTAGGTCTTGTATGTATGATAGAAAGCTGCCTCCTGTCTCCTCTCCATAGTGAAGTGTAAAGCTCCTTCAGTTCCTGCACATATTCACTTGGCCACTCAGGACCGTGTGCATGTGACCAGAATCAAAGCAGAAAGTCACAGTGTGATCTCTATATTGGTATTACAGTGGGTCAGCTAGGGACAGTAATGACTGCTGCCACCAAAACATCCCCATGCCAGTACTGTTCTAGGTCACTTATGTATTGCCTTCCATCCCTGCACTAGTAGCCTTGCAAGATTAACTATTGTAATCTCCATTTTATAGGAAATGAAATGGAAGCCAAAAGAGGCTAAATGAATGTGCCTACATTTTCCCAGTAAACAAGCAGTAGAGCTATGACTCAAACCAAGTCTGTCTAATATAAAGGCTCTTTCCATGACAGCATGCTGCCTCTTGAAGTGACAGTTTCCTTGTCTTTTTAAAAATTTTATTGTTAACTACTTCTCCCTACTCCTCTCCTTGCTGCTACTTGAACCAATCATCCCTATTATTTAACCATGGATTGGGAACTCCATGGTTGGAAGAAAATTTTCTTCTTCCTAAGTCTTGTTTCAACCCCTTTACAGCAAATAAGCTTTACCGTTAGAACAGACTTCCTTCATTCTAGCCTCCATCAGAAGTTGGAAATCTTATTTCATATTAATAGTCCCCAGCATTTAGAGGTAGCTTTTCTTTTTAAGGCGTTGCTCTCATTTCATCTTCAAAGATGACAGAATGGACGAATGTCATGTTATATCATACCTGCTTTACTGATGAGAAAGTTGAGACTCAGGGATATCTGAGAACCTGCATCAGTCTTAGAATCCAGGCCTTGGAGGCTTGGAGGAAAGCAGGAGCCCCTCCCACCTGTTCTGCTCTGGTTTTCTGCGCCAGCCCCTCCCTTACACCCAAAATTGATCATGTGCCATGCACTGGAGGTGGAAGGAGGCAAAGCTGTGACAAGAGCTCCAGGGGTTTGATCCACCTCCACCACTGACTCCTGTGTTTAGCCTCTGTATGGCTGTGGAACACATAATTTCTGAGGGGAGCTTACAATTTCCAGTATAAATTTAACATCATTAGAATATACATTGAATTTTCATTCCTAATAGAAAAAAAAAGTTCCCTGGGCATTTCCATCTATACATACAGACATTTCTAGCTTCAGTACCATGGGTTGGGGGTCCTTTCAGTTTTGCTCCCTAAACTGTTCCCTGGCACCACTGACCAGACTTGACTTTTCTCTCTTCCCTGGGAAATGCTTTGGCAACCTAAGGACCAATGAGAGAAGGGGATAGATGATAGATGGATGATAGATGGTTCATCTGGCAGCCTAAGGATCAATGAGAGAAAGAGAGAGGTGGTAGGTAGGTCATGGCGGGAAGGTGCCCAAGCAGATAGTGTCCCAGAGGGAGAAAGGAAAGTGACTTTTAAATTTGCATGAGATGACTGGTCAGAGTGAGAGACTTAAGAGGACTAAAGGTGGGGCAGTGCCCACACTTGGCCCCTTCACCCCATGGAAAAAGGGGCATTTGCCTTTGCCATTCAAATCTCGATTGGTTAAAACTCTGCACTGAGTTAATGAAGAACTAAAGATGGCTTGAAGCATCCAGCATCCATCACAAATACTTAATTATTTCTAGAGATTAAACATTCAATATGGTAACAAAAGCATCCCCACTTTAAATAGCTAATTGGTGCTTGTACACCAATTGTCTGTGGGAGACAAGCCAAGAAATTGAGCTGAATGTGGGTAGTCCCAAATATACATCTGTGGGCAGGTATATTTATGACACTTGGCTTGTACCTAGAAGCTAGAACTCTCCAGAATTCTCTATCTATACAAACTCATTCCATCCTTACACAGTTCTGTCCCTTCTTCGGAGGGACTTCTCATTCATTAGTGACAACGGTAGTATGAGAGCCATGATCCCCTTTCCAGGTTCTAGAGCCCCAGTTTCTGAATCCTGTCAAAGTAGTACCTATGACAGTGAGGCTCAAGCTGTAAAACGAGGTGAAATGGAAGCCTATGACACTGTGGCTGGAACAACCCCAGGTGTGGGCACTGACTTTCCAGACAGCTCCTTCCATGAAGTGGCAACTCCTCACCATGTGTCCTGAATTTTAGTAACACTAGTAATAATAACAATGATGATAAGGCACGGTATTTTGCAACAAAGTCTTCTTAAAACCCTTTCAAATGAGGAGTTATGGTAGCATTTGGATAATCAATCTTGATTGTTATAGTAAAGATGCTACATGAATAGAATGTCTACTCATGTCTACTCAATGTCTGCCAATTTTCAGTTACTTTTCTGATTAATGAAAACATGTGCATACTTTTATGTTATCTTTAGTCAGAGTCATTATAGTTTCTCAGTTGTAGAAATAATTAATAGCACAGTTTCCAAAAACAACAACACTGTTTGGGATGATAAAATAAGTAGGGGCTGCCAAAAAGTCTACATGGAAGGATGCTTCCTCTGTCCTGTGGGTTTCTCTAACTGCATCACTGGATGTGGAAATTACAGCCTGTAAACTATATTAAGTTTCATACCAAATCTTGTTTGTACTGCCTTTAGCAACAGCTGCATGCAGGAAGGAAACTGCGCCCCTTTATTGTGGAATTCGGGCATCTTAGCACCAAAAGCTCACTCCTGGAGCCCCCAAATAGATTAAGGGGATAAGAGGAGAGAAAAAAGTAATGATTTTTACTTACAAGCTTCAAAAAGATCTTTTGGTTAGTGGTTTATATGGGATAAGATCCTTTAACTGTTTCCTTGTCAGGAAGGCCTTACTATGGTAACGTGTGACGTGGCTGAATGGTGCCATACTGGGTTGGTAGGCCATGCTGGGGATAAGGATCAGTGAGGTGGGCAGGGCAGGAAATGGGAGCAAATGGCAGTGGGGGATGGGCAATAAAACCCCTGCCCTATGCTCCCCAAATCCCTCAGACCTCCCTTTCCTCAGTTGTTAAAGAAAATATTACCCATGTGATCCAGCTGAAAGACTGGCTCGTGCTCCCGAACCGTCACTCTGAAAAGCAAGGTTCCGGGGCCCTTGAACCTAGTATCTGCCCCTGAAATTCTCACTTACCTGGTCTGAAGATGGAACCCTGGCATCAGGGAAAAACTGTGGGTGACCTACATGGCACAGTGGCTGGTAGAGGCATGTCAAGGGGTGGTATGATCAGGAGCTCTATGAATTCTAAGCATCACAGGACAAAATGCCAACCAGTCTCTCCTTGCCTAGTAAATGAGAAAACTGGCATGAAATGTCCATTTTCGTCTCTTATTATGGCGGAGTAAAATCAGCAAGGATCTGTGGGTGTGGGTTAAGCCGTATTAGGGATACTGAATGCTGGAATGAGGCCCATCCCAGGCCTGGCCTGGCCTGGCAGGGGAAGCCAGCCTCTTTCCATGTAAAAAGGACCTTCCAGCATGCCCCTCAGGAGTCCGAAGAGGTTGGATCTCTCTGCTACCTTCCCGCCTTCCAGGTGACTGACATCCCAATATGTTTTGCAGTGACTCTGGACGTGGTAGCAGCCTCTTAGACAGAACCATCGCTGACAGACGACAGCTTAATACAATCACTTTGCCAGACTTCAGCGATCCTGAGACAGGTGAGAATCAAAGGCCAGGGGGGATGAAATGGTGCTAGCAGTATGCAGGGCTGGGCGCCACGTGGTATGCATGAAATCATCAGGGCCTAGGGATGAAGAGAGTTCCTCACCCAAATGGGGGAGATTTGATTTGAGGTAGATTTCCTCCAATGGTTATCCAAGTGTTGGATCAAGGGGTGTCAGGGGGTTAGGGGGTAGAGCTAGTCATGATAATATATGTTCATCACAATGCTGAAATCTGGGTTTTCCACCTATTCTGGGAACTTAAAATTTGGAACTAAAGTCGGCTATGGTTTCCATCCCCATCATGTTTTCTTCCATTCCTCTAGTTTCCCTCTAGGCTTCAGCCTCTGACTGCTAATCCGATACGCATTTAAATACACTTGTACCCATGTGTGGAGTGGCAGGGAGCTGCTGAGCCCCCTGGGCTGGTTCACTGCCCTTGTGGAGGCCTAGAGCACACACTGCTCTCAAGCAAACATTTCCACCCCTGACTGAGTACAGGGGAATAAGGATGTCTCCCAATAAGCCATCCAACCATAATGCCAAGCGCAGTTTGGGAGACTCAGCAGACTCACAAACTTAATGAAATTCACTTGGCGTAGAGCCTCAGAGGTAGTTCTAGAACATCATTCAGAACCCGCTCCTGTCACATCTTCACCCCTAGAGGACCCTTAAGGCTCCATCCCTGTCTAATGGCCCGGTCTTTGGGGAACTGGCCTTGCAAAAGGAGCCTTAAGGTCCCTTGTCAATCCTTGTGCCATACCCCAACTCCCAAGACAAAACCTTGCAAAGGAAGTTGGGCCTACCCACCCTGGGAAAGCTGACCCCACCTGGGTGGGAGGAACGGGGCTTTGGGGAGCCCCGTCTGGTGGCATTTGCAGAGCCTGCATTCTTGCAGAAGCTCTCCTCCACAAGGTGAAAGTCAGCCTGAGGAATCAGATGCAAGGCCCCGGGGCGCTGGGTCAAAACGCTGCTAGGTATCAATCAGGAGCCAGTGGCTCACCCCTGTAATCCTACAGGCTACTCAGGAGACCGAGATCTAAGGATCACAGTTAAAAGCTAAACTGGGCAGGAAAGTCTGTGAGACTCTTAGCTCCACTTAATCACATAAAAGCTGAAAATAGAGCTGTAGCTCAAAGTGGTAGAGCACCAACCTTGAGTGAAAAAGCTAAGAAACAGTGCCCAGGCAGGCCCTAAGGTGTAGCCCCAGTACTGGCACATTAAAAAAAAAAAAGTTGGACACTGATGGCTCATGCCCATAATCCTAGCTACTCAGGAGGCTGAGATCTGAGGATTGCGGTTCAAAGCCAGCTTGGGCAGGAAAGTCTCTGAGACTTTTATCTCTAATTAACCACCAGAAAACTAGAAGTGGAGCCTTGGCTCAAAGTGAAGTGCTAGTCTTGAGCAAAAACCCAGGGACAGTACCCAGGCCCTGAGTTCAGTTCCCACAACCAACACAACAAAAAAAAAAGAAAAGATGACTAGGCATGAGGAGTGAGGCAAATTTGAACTTCGCTCACTTTGCAGCTGACCAAGCCACAGGTTACACCCACCCAGTACACACTGCTCCCCTCTCCTCTTTGGCTGTCAGTCATGGGTGAGCATAGACTGAAAGCCAGGCCAAACAGGACTGGCACAGTGCACGGAATCCTATATGGGGAGGTGTGGTCCTGCCAGGGAGCTGTCCAACTCCTCCCGGTAGCTAAGTCATAAGCTGTAGCCAGGGTGAGGTGCAGCAGAGAGGAGGGAAGCAAGAGACACTTACTATGGCCCTGCAGCGATGTGGACAGATTCAAAACTGCTGCTGCTGTCGGCCCCTCTGCTCCTTCTTAGTATCTTGTGAGGACAGTCATGCTAAATCCACACCTCTTCCTTTCCAGCTGGCTTGGACCTTTATTTTCCCAGAGGTCCTGAGATGTGAATGTCACAGCACAATGAAAACAGATAACCACAGGAAGTAAATGAGGCCCTAGTTCATATGCCTCTTCGCCCCTGGGGGCATTTTCCTAGCCCTCTTAAAAGTCACCGTCCCACCCCACAGGTGACACCTCATGTGTCATGCTGTATAGGCTGTGTCTGTGGCACAAGCCATTGCTTCCTCTCCTCCTTTGCCTTAGTGCCATTCATGCAGTCACTCTCTCAAGGAGGGTGGGTCCCCCACTCACTACCTGGGAACCCAGATGTTTGAACCGCTGGTTCCTATGTTCTTCCAGAACAATTGGGGGTGGGGGGGGTTCACTGTCCCCAGGCAGACAGGTCAATGCCATCTTGTTGAACCATTCAAAGGAATCCCTTTCACAAAGCATGTTTGCATACCATCAGTCAAACCAAGGCACCAGAGGAGCAAGAAAATAGAGGTCTATGAGAATCAAATGTGAAATGACAGTGTTAGAGACATTGAAAGATTAGGAAAGTTCACCTAGAAATGGACACGCTGCCTCTGTCTTGGTTTATGAAGCCCAGTGTTATTGGATGTGACTTGTGGGGAGGTGTCAGGAGGAATAGCTCCTCTTACCTTGTTTACACGCCTAAGTGGACAACCTGCCTGCAGATCTGGTCATTCCTCACATCTTGATTTCACTTCAAGAAGAAATCCATTGCATAATTCAAAAGCCAGCACTCAAAAGCTTCCACTAAGATTCGTTGTTTCCATCCCTGCACCCGCATTGTCCCTTTCTCCAAAAGCAACCATTTTTCCTAGCTTTTTGTTTACTCTTCTGGTCTTTCTCTAGCCAAAGAAGCATACGCACTGTTTCCCATACCCATACATAAGCTACTTTTCGCTGCTAGCCTATCCTGACAATGCCTCTGCCCCATCCTGGAGACTCTCCTTATTCTGTTGCGGGGCTGATGTATTCCATGAACTGTGGTTCACTTTACCATCCAGCACCAGCTCAGGCACAGGGTGTTCACGTGGTGCCGGGGGAGGCTGGCTGATTTCAAGCAGTCACTATAGCACTGCTCATTTAGAAAAGAGAACAGGGAGGTCAGCATGGTTCTGAATTAAACAGAAGTGATTCCGAGATCAGAGTTAGTCTGGGAGATCTCAGCCCTGACGAGTGAATTCTGTCTTCAGCACTGGTCTACACCATGCTCAATGCCTAACTGCTTTCCTAAATCCACTTTGAAGGGCACAGGTCTCCCCCCCCATCCCCCTATGAGCAAAGCCACACAAGGCCGACATCAGAAGGGGGCATGCCAAAGAGAAGATGAACTTTTACTGTCTTGATTCCATAACTGAGCCCCAGGCCAGTACCCCCAGTCTGCAGACATACTCCCTGATGAGAACAAAGGTCCGCTTTTGGAGTGGTTTTGGGTTTTCCCAGAGTTAAATTTATTCATTAATTAATTTAAATTTCAGTTATGTTGAAATGTTAAATAAATTGAGATGATCAGACCAGAATAGATTATCATAACCTGCCACTAACTTTCAGCGGTTACTCCTTTCATCTATTTCTCCTATCCCACACTTGGTTTTTATGAAGTATTTTAAGACATCATAATTCTGCCTGTTAAAATTTTAGAATGTATGTCTGACAGATAAAAACTTTAAAAAATGTAAACACAAGGCCGTGGTTATACATCCCAGGTCGTTATGCAGTACAGACTGAGTATTCTTGATTCCAGAAGTGAATGGCTAGCTAGGAGCTTATTTTCCATCTCTGAGCTTATCCGTGTGCAGATCTGTGGAATAATATGAGGTAGGACGTGCATCTGCAGTCTGGAGACGGGCCAAGTCCGCGGTAGCTAGCACAGCAGAAAGCTCCCCTCAGAGACCCCGATTCCTGTCTGATGGCCTCTGGCTCCCTTTCCCCTGCCTCTAGGAGGCCCTAGCCAGCCCCAAAGAAGAATCAAATGGAGTGACAATCTTTACTTTGACACTATGAGTCACTGTCTTTTCTTTGCAATAAGTTGGTAGTTCCTTAAATAGAGAATGAAAAAAAATATTATTTTTCTTCCTTTTACTTCAAAACAGGATGTGGGATAAAAAGGATTTGTCTTTAATCATTGGTAGATATTACCAGATACCTACCCAAAACAAAACAATTTTTTTTTCCTAACATGGAAGCTTGGTGCCCTTTATTGGGACATGTTTCTAGTTGGGAGCTGCAGTGATCTCCACATTGCCACAGATCTCACCAGCTGTCAGATATGAAAGCACTAGCTTCCTTTCCAAAATGCCCAGAGAGGGTACCCAATCATGGACAGTCTCAGAAAGCCTGGCATGGGAACCATGATCTGTGCCCACACTTCAGGGACTGCTAATACCTTGGCAAGTATTAGTCTGAAAGTTCACTTTCCATAAATCCTTCTCACACGTAACAAACATATGGAAAGTCAAGTTCTAGCCCTTTTTCCAACTGAAAAATGAATAGTGTCCCACAGACTGCCCTGGGTGCTATAAGTTAAAGATGTGTTGTTTTCACTGGATCACGCTGCTGAATCTGTGCCCAGGTAAATCTGAGTTGTTTTGAATTCCATGATGTTATTGCAGAAAAGTTCAATAACCAGTGGAAAAACAAATGGGTTCTCTTCAAAAATGCACTTTGTATTGTATTGTCCAGTAGAGGGATGATTGTGTATTATTACATGACCTCATTTTCTTTGCAGCATATGTGAGTATATCAAAAGCTAGTTCGTTCTTTCTTTGTGTTCCTGAAGAGGTTTTTGTTTTTGTTTTGCTTTTATCTTTTTTTTCTCTCTTTTACTTTTTTAGTGTCAGATTCCTCCTCCTCCTCCTCTTCTCTTTCAAGAACTGAATCTCCTCTCCACCTGTTTGTATCTTCTCATCTTCATTCTCATCCCAAACCTGATACCTTTGTGTGGCCCCCCGCAAGTCATGCACTCGGTGACTCGGGTCCCCGCCGGGAGCCCTCTCTCTGTAAACATGGTTTTTCCTTTCTTGTTTGATCTGCTTCATTTGCCTGATGTTTTGTTTTCTGATGATCTTCCAACCTGTAAGCTGGAAAGGAAACTATCAAACTTGTCAGAGAGAA